ATTTCAATTATATATATAAAATATACTAAATAGATTAATAATTTTACAATAATCAATCAAAAATTACACAAAAATAAACAAGCCAATTACTCTTATTAAAAAGTAGACTTTCCGTTTCTTTTTTAGATTAAATTAATAACTTTCTTAATCAAAAAAGCTTCGAAAATATACTTTATTTACATTATTTAGATATATTAGCCTATAAAAATTCACTTTTGTATTCAAAATATTAATTTGAGAATATGATTACTACATTAATTTACCTAAATAACCGTCTATATTATACCCAAAACACTATTTTGATGTTTTAATATTTTTTTTCGAATAAAATACATATAGGAGATGACAAATTCTTTAATATTTTTGCTAAATACACGAATTTTTGTCATTTTTTCTTTAAAAAAAATCTTTATTTTAGTATAGATATTCCTCCCTAGTGTCTAAATATAATAGATTAATATATAGAATAAAATAACTAAATAATATAATAGAACATATAAATATAAAATTAAAACTAATTAGAAAATATGACCTAACTTTGTTAATTATTATAGGCTTTTTAAATAATCAAATAATATATTTTAGATACAGATTTTAAGTGGATTCTTTAGATAAATTTTGATAGAATATAACTATATAAAAGCTTAAAAATAATACTAGAATAAATTATTATTATTAAATAAAGTAATATCATTAATATTTTGGTAAAAAACTATATATGTAGTAAATATTTATAGGATAATTGTTTAAATTTTGTAAACTAACTCGGTATTTTTTAAGGAATTGATGGAATTAATAAAATTATTGAGTTTAATCTTTAATCGCATATTTGGATAAATATTTTAACCAAATATATATAAAGACTAGAGTAAAAAGCACTAAATAATTAGAACTTAAAGAATTCTTTCTAAGTTGAAGAGGATATAGCTTTGCATAATCAAAAAATTAAATAGTTTTTAGAATAATTATAGAAGTTTAGTTGATTAAATGATAAATATTGTTATCATTTGTTAATTGTATATATATATAGATGTTAATTCAAAAAAAAAATTGAAGTATTATTGTCAGTAAACATATATAAATTATATTGTAAAAATACTTTATATTCATAAAAATATTTAAAATACAATTTCTATATTTAAATTATGATAATAAATTATCTATATTTAAATATAGAAATAAATTAAATATATTAAAATATAGAAGTATATTAACTATATTTAAATTAATAATAAAAGTATATTAAAATAATAAAACAATAGAAATAAATTAACTATATATATGAATAATATAGAAATAATTAAACTATATATATAAAAATAATATAGAAATACATAGAAAATATAAATATAAAATAGAAAAAAATATATATAGATATAATAAAATATAAAAATATATAAATATATAAATATATATATATATATATATATATATATATATACTAAATTTTTATTTTAAAGAAATTTATTTATTAACAAATTTTTTTGTATAATAATTTTTTTTTATTTTCTATATTTATAATATTTATGCATATTACTTTTTTACTTTTATTAATAGAAACATTTCTATATGTTTTTTTTTTTTTTATAAAAATTAAAATAAATAAGATAAAAACATTAATATATTTTATATTTAATTTTTATTTTTTATTAAACACATTTGTATCTTCCACACACATTATTTTTATAAACTACAAATAAAAAAACAAAAATTTTTCTAAAATATCATTTCTATTAAAAAAATAAAATAAAAAATAAAATAAAAATATACAAATTTTACACATAAAGGACATTTAATTTAAGCAAAAACAGGCGGTAACAAATTTAGGCAAATTTTATGGCATTAATGTCCACATTCTAACGTAAACTATATAGAACTATCTACTTTTTATCTACAAACGCCACAAAGTGCATAATTAGATAAATCTTCTTATTATAAAAAATGAATAAGCTCTTCATTTTCATATGTTTTAATTCTTTTCGTATATAATTTAAATCTACTCCAGTTTTAGCTTTCTAAAAAATACGTCCAATTTTAATGATTATGCGAATTATTTTAAAGAACCTCTCTCTAATCTAATTCTTAATCGAATTATTTTAATATGTGAATCCCCATTTTTATTTATATTTTTTCACCAAATCCTTTAGCCCAGTATAGGCGAATTTGCACTAAAAAAACGCGATTTAATGTATAATAGAAGCCGAATTAGATTTACACTACAAACATTTTATTTTAATATACTCAGCCAAATCTTCAATACCTATTCCTATATTTTTTATTGCTTTTTTACTATTTAAACTACAATGAACATTCTTACATTCGTACTCTATATTAATCCCTGTCCCTATTTTTCGATGACATTCCCCTTTTTTTTATAAAATAAGTTCAATAGTGAATGCATTATCCCCTTATAAAGGCCAAAACCACTCGTTTTCTTACTCTTCTTCTATATTTTTTAACACATATTACGTATCGGGTTAATATAAACCAAATTTATCCTCATCTAATAAAGGAATTAAATTATTTTCTGTTTATTTACTCCCTACCCCTTTATTTAAACTGCCCTTAATAATTTTATTAAAAGAGCAAGAATTCACATTAATTGTCGGATCTAATTTCGCCAGTTCTTTTTTTACATCATCTACAGTCAAAGAGGGATAAACTTAATACTAAACACAAGAATTATTCTATAAATAAATTTAAACCGAATAAAAATCCTCGAAGGGTGCTTTTATCTTAAAATAAGCCGGAAAACAATCCAAATGATAGGAAAGGGGTTTCTACAGATTAAACATACCGAAAAAAAGCTCTAAATTATTCGGTTCACAATCATATTAAAGCTTTATATATTTTATAGAGTTTTCTAAAAGTAATTATAATGAACCTTACTATTAAGCATTTTATTAAGATAAATGCATAATGAAGCATTTAGTAGTATCATTTACACACATGAAAAGAAATTTTGTATTTTAGGAAGATATTACTTATTATTGGTTTGTTATTATATATTAGGATATTATTAAGTCTAACTTTTCCTTGGTTTCGGATTATATTGTGGACAATTTACAAATTTGTTTTTATGATTAATTATCATCTATTGATTTTACAGAATTATTTACTATTTAATAAATTATAAAAAATATAAAATATATAATAATATATATATATATATATATATATATATATATTTATATTTATATTTAAATATATTTTCTTTTTATCATTTATTTTTATATATATTAGTTTTTTTTTTTTTTTTTTTTTCACATTTTTATTTTTTCTTTATTTTTTAAATATACAATTTAAAAAATGGATTTTTTACTTTTTTTTATATTCCAGTTTTTAAATTTAAATTACAGAAAAAATAAACAATGCAATTAATAATATATGAATTTTTATTTTTATTAAAAACGTACTTTTATTCTATAATGTTGGATGCCTTGATTATTAATTTTATATACTGCTATTAATATTGTTTAGATCTTAATCATTTAATGATTATTCTTTTTCTATTATTTATATACTTCTTGTACTTTTGGATTAATTATTTTACAAAATTTGATTATTGTGATTATGATTTATTTATTAAAATTATATAATATCTTATTATTTATTTTAATCTTTAATACTTTATTACATTTTTTTTGAATTTTTAATATTTTGACTTTATTAGTTTTTATTTGTTTCGTAACTTTAGACTGAAATATCATTTTCATTATTATTAAGGTATTAATTAATCTTATTTATATTTTTGTTATTATTATTTTTTAAAAAAATAAAAAAAATTTAATTTATTTTCTTTTTTTTATATCTTACTTCACATTTATCTAATTATTTGCTATCTTAACAACAGTTATTTCCCATAATTATTTTATTTTTTCTATTTATTTTAAATTTTTTATTTATATATATATATTATTTTCTGGTTATTTTTACAAATATTAAAAAAGTTTTAAATATTTTTAATTTTTTTGATAATATATATTAAGATTATAATTTATTTATAAAATTAAAAAAAAATCAATTTTATTTAATATATATATAAAAAAAAAATTATTTTAAAAATACTATATATTAATTATATTCTTTTAGAAAAATTAATTAAATTTATATTTATTAAAATAATTAATTTACATTATATATAAATTATTTAATAAAAATAACGATTATATTAATATAACTTACATTTAATAATATTATTAATATTGTAAAAATTTTATAAATAAATAATTAATTGAATTTTTTCAATAAAAAATAATTAATAATATTATAATTCTTTTAAATTTAATTTAAATTTATAAATAAAAAATAAATAATTAATAAAAAAATTAAATATATATATAAATTAGCAATAAAAATATTTTGTTATTAAAAGAAATGAAAATACTAAATAAAATGAATATTAAAAAAATTATATATATAAAAATTTATATATATATATATATTTAAATATAATAAAATAAAATAAAAATCAATCCTTTTAATTATAATTATACATATTTATATGTATAAAATATTTTTTAAATAAAATTAAAATAATTTTAAAATTCAAAATTTTTTAGTATTTAAAGTTATGATATTTTGAATAATATAATAATTATATTTAGAAATTTATATAATTTATTTATGTTATATATAAAATAATGTAAAAAGTTATTATAAGAGTAATAATAAAATATAAAACAAGATCAAAAAAATAAGAAAATTCATGAAAACTATTAATAAGTATATATATATATATATATAAAATTTTAAATAAAAAAGAAATTACCTTTTCACCCAGTCAAATCTTATCATTTTTTTTTTTTTTCTATTTTTTTTTTTTATAAACAAGATTAAGATGATTTTTATTTTCATTATTTTCTATAAATTACTTTTCTTATAAAACCATATTTTATTATTTTTATATTTATTAAAATTAACTATTTATAATTTTACATTCATTATCAATTTATTAGCCATTATATTTTTTTAAATTATTTAAATTCGGGAACATGATTTCATAATTTTTCGCCAAAGTAAGAATAAGTTAACTAGCTTAAATAATTTCCTCCTATTATATATTAAGTAGATTTACTAATTTTTACAGAATCCTAATTTAATTTAACTATATACGTACTTATTCCAGAATTTTCAAAGAAACAAAAATAATAGCAGCTGCCAAAGTATTATTATTATGATTACTAATTAAAAAATAATCAAATATAGTTAATTTATACATATATGTAAGTAGAATTTGAATAAATCTAACCTATCCACTTAATTAAAATTCCTCATTTAAAAAATTATCAGTTATTATAATAAAGTATGCAATGTACCATAATTAATACTATATTCAAGTACATTTAAAACATCAGCTTCCATAGCTTTTATTTAATCTGTAGAAATTTTTTTATGGGCAATCTTTTCATGTAAGACTTTTAAATTAAAAGGCACAATTTCTTCATATTTACTTGCAATAAACATACATGAAACTCCAATTACATGTAATTCATGTACTTATAAAATTCTATATATAGTATAAATTATTATTATATAAATAATATGTATATATATATTACCTATTGCATTATTAAAAATATCTATCCATTGTATTTATTGTAAGAGCGAAGGTATCTTCAGATAAATTATATGATTTAGTAACTTCTATTACCCAGTCAATCATTTTGGCGCGCATTGATTCGTTAATATAATGACTTTTTAAAAAAAGACTAGGGTCTTGTACTTCCTTTATTTATTTTTGTTATTTTAAAAATCATTTGTTTTTTTTTTTTTTTATATGAAAAGAAAAAAATAAAAAGAATAGATATGTATATATATACACTATAAAAAACAATTTTAACAAAAAAATTAATTTCTTATAAGTGTATATAAAATATATATATAATAGATGTATTTTATATTTTTTTTTTTTTTTTACATTTATTTATTTTCGGAGATTGATTTATAAATAATGTTAAGCGTTTTTATCTGAATTAATGGTTTTTTATAACTATTAGTCATTTAAATTAGTTTATTTAGTATTTTATTATAAATTAGATTAAGTGAAAAAAGGTAAAGTTTAATTTTCTTGTTCCATATATATAAATATATTATATATTATGTTTGCTTTTAATTTTTTTTATTTTATGTAATTAAAAAATAAATATAATATTTAAAATTCATTCAATTTAAAAAATAAATAAAATAATAATAAGTAAATATTACCTATATATATGTATAAAAATTATGGAAATGATAATAAATATATTTTTTTTTTAAAAAAAAATATATATATAAAAAAATAATTGATTTTTTTACATATAAAAAACTAATAAAAATATAATTTAAAGATTAAATTAAAAAATATTTACATATTTTTTATTAATTTATATTTATATTTTTAACATTTTTTAATTATAAAATAGATGAAAAACAAAACAAAATAAAAACAAAAACAATAATTATTTTATTTAATAATAATAAAAATTATTTCAATTTTATTTTTTAAAAAAATAAGATAATTATTAGTGTTTTTTATATTATAACTGCTTTTATAATTGCATATTTTTTATAAATGATTTAAAAAATATTTCGCAATATAGACGTTAGTTGAAATTAATGAAATTTTTCTGAAAAATAAATTAAATAATATAAAAATAGATAAAAAATCTATTGATAATAATAATAATAAAAAAAAAATTTAAAATCAAAAGACAGTCTAAATATTTTTTTTAAAAAAAAACAAAAAACAAAAATATTTAAATATATTGAAATTCATATAAATATGATATAATTAATATATTTTTTTAAAAAAAAAATATAAAAATACATTAATATATTATTATTATTATCCAAATATATATTTATTTAAAAAATTCAAAAAAAAAAGTAACAAAAATTTAATATTAAACAAATATTTAAAAAATTAGTTATTTTTTTTTTTTTTTTTGCAATTTTATTTTTAAATTAATTTTATTGAGTAAAATATTAAAGTACTATATATTTTTATTAATTGAACTAAAATTCCTAAGATAGTTAATTATATATTATCAAAATTAAAAAATATATTAAACAATATTATATATCTTATTAGATATTAAATTTTTATATATAAATTTATAATTTTCATTTTAAAAATAATAAAAAAATTAAATTTAAATAAAGAATATTTAATTATATATATAAAAATTTTAAGTAAAATTATATATATAAAAATTTTAAGTAAAATTATATATATAAAAATTTTAAGTATAATTATATATATATATTTAAATTATTTTTATTAATTATGTCTTTTTAAAATTTGAATTCCTTGTCATTTATGAAAAAAAGTATAATTTAAATAAAATTTAAAACAAAAAAATAAATATATATTATTATTATAAAATATATATAATAAATAATTATTAATATAAGTTGATATAAAACTTTATTAGTTTGTATACTATATATATATTAATAATAAAAGAATATTAAACATATCAACAATAATATATTATTTATGTATAGTATGATAATAAATATAGTTTAAAAGAAATATATATATATATATATATAAAAAGATTAATTTTATTTTTTTTATTATATAATAAATATGTAAAATATTCTATATTTTTATTATTAAATAATACATAAATTAAAAATACACTTCAAAACTTAAATTTTTTATCATTTAATTTTTATTTATTTTTAAAGTCTTTTTTCCCCTAATTATTATGTCCTTATCTCCTTTTTTTTTATTCTAATCTAGTACATCAATACCTTTTTTGAATTTATTATTTCCCTTTTCAATTTGAACTTTAATTTTATCTGCCAATTAATCAAACTCGTTTTTAGCTTTTAAATTATCTTCTTGGTCTTCCTAATCTTCTTCCTAAATTTCGTTTTCTTAAAATTCTTAATTAATAAGTAAATCAAAAACATTTTATTTTTTCTTTAAAATATTATTCTATCCAAAATTATATTTCCTTTTTTTTAAATCTATATTATATTAATCATCTAAGCAAACCGGAAAATCATCCACATTCATTTATTCTATTTTCCTTTTTGGCTTTTTGCCCCTTTTTCCTTTTCAAATCCAATAAATTCATCATTTTTACATTCTTCTTCTCCACCATTTTCATCTTTTCTTTCTTTGTTTTTCAAAAAAAACTCCTTCTATTTATCTAAAATTCGATTTTCAATTATTTATTAATCATTAATCTTCACATGCTCATAAATCTCATATAATTAAGGATATATTTCGCAATAAAAAATCATAGGATCTTAATAAATAAAGCTTTTTTAAATTTCCTTTACTAAAAAGCCTTCTTCTTATATATAATGTTGTCCTAAAATGCTACATTTCTATCCATAAAGGTTAATTTTTACATCAACCTCTTCTATTTTTAATAAAACTTCATTTTTTTCTTCTTCTACACTATAGTTTTTTTAAGAAAAGACCTCTTATAGTTCTAATTATGATTTTTATTGTTAATATTATTATTCAACCAATATATTGGATTCTCCCTATTCTCCATCTACATTTTCCGTATTTATAATTTCTAAAATATCCTATATATTCTAAAAGCCCACATAACTTAAATTAAATCCATTAAACTCCTTTAAACTACCTGGCATTTTATTAACAATCTAAAACAAAACATCATTTTAAATTACAAACTTAACACTTTCATCATAAAGTCTTCCCTTTTCAAATCTCCACTTTAAAATTTTCTTTAAAACCCTAAATTTTCTATTTGACAATATCCCTTATTAATTCCTTAAAATTTAAAAATAAAACTCGTCTTCCAGAACTGGTTTTTTCCATTTTTTTAAACAAATTCCTTAACTTTTCTCGAAAACCACCTTATTTAGTCTTTTCTAATACATCATATTCTTTAATTCATCATGTATTTTCAATAAATAATGGGTATCGACCCTCGCATACACTAACATGTCTTTACTTAAAGGTCTTTACCTCCAATCTGCCAATTAGAACTTTTTATCAGTTCCAACTTTGCATATACTGGCTAAAAGATATGCATATGAGTAACTTGGAAATCCCAAAGCTCTTGCAGCCTGTCCAGTATCGAAAATATTTACAATATATATACCAAAATCTCTCTAAAGCCACTAAATATCCATATCTGCGCCGTGTAATACTTTTACTATTTTCGGATTTGAGGTTATTTTGTTTAATTTCCAAATATAATTCCATATAGGAAATGGATCAATTATAAAGTCCCTTTCTCGGCTAGAAATTTAAATTAAACATGTTATTCCTTAAAAACTTCGGAATGAATGATGTTCTAAATCAATTGCTATTATTAATTAACTCTCTAAATATACTATTAAGTCTTCAAATTAATCCACTGAGTCTATATATGTCATCTAGTTCATAATATTAGAAGGTTCGGTAACTTTAATAGGCAATTCTTCCTCTATATTCATTAAATTTTCGATTTCATAGGAATATGGATGCGGAAAATCATAGTTTTAAACGTCTTTTATATCTCTAAAATATTACTCAGGACCCTCTTTTTACGCCTATATGATAATATCATCTAAAGGTACTTATGCGTTATGTTTTTCTGGTATTTTTGGGATAAAAGGAAAAGGGGAATTTTCTATGGGGATATTGTATTTAATTTAAGGCTTTTCTTCATTTAGATTATGAGTGTTTTCGGTAGATATTAAGTTGTTTTTTTAAGTTTAATTAAATTTTAGTTTATCTAAAGATGAGTCTACATTTTCAAATAAAATGTCGTTTATATATTCGATTGTTTAAAATTGGTTTATATTTATTTTATGAGGAATTAAGGAAATAAAATTTTATAGTTTTAATATTTATGACATAATCAAACTATTTATTTGCTATTGTTTTTGCTTTAATTGAAAATTGTTCATATAATAACTTAATTCTTCGTGAGCGGGAAGTTTATTAGATGTTTAGACTAATTTTTTATCGTTTTAAAGGACTTTATTAATAAATTGAGTTTCTTATATAATTTCTTCAATGTCTTTTATGTAATTATTATTCATATTAGATTATTAATTTTTATTTTTGTTTTCTATATAATTTATACTTTCTATTTATTAATATAAAACATACAAACAAAAGTATATATGGTTTTATAAATATATATTAAATATAATATATGTTAAATTAAATATATATTAAAATGAATAAAAAAATAATTTATTGAAAAAATAATAACATTTATATATATATATATATAATTAATAATTATACATATATTTTTATATTTTATCTAAGATATATTATATTATTTAACTTTTTATATTTATTTTTTTATAAAATTTAATTTTAATTTTTGATTTTAAATAAATACTTTATATATGTTTTATAATTAAAAAAAAAAAACAATATTTATATAAATTTACTAATATATAATTTTATTTTTCATAATATATTATTAATTTTGTTTGTTTGTTTTATATATATGTCTATAATTTTTATAAAAAATAATAATTTTAATATTAATAATGTTTTCATTTTATATTATTTATATATATTATATATTTAGTTTACTTTTTATATTTTTTCAGTTTTTTAGTCTTTTTATTATATTTTGACATAAAAAATGACAAAAATTATTTTTTTAATTATAATATCTTTTCTATTTTATATAAATTACTATCATTTTATTTTCATATTATAAATTATAAACAATATAGAATATATATATATATAAAATAAAAAAATTAATTAAGTTTAAGAATATAATTAAATATAAATATAAAAAAATTTGAAAAATCATTTTTACCTTTTTTTTTTAAAAAAAAAATTATTTATAAAAAAAACCTTTCAATATTAACAGATAAAAATAACTTATTTTTTAAAAATTTCATTTTTATTTATTATTTAAATTTAAATCTTCCCTTTTTAAGCCATATTATTAAATAACTCTTTCATTATTTTTATCAGTAATTTTTTACATGCTATAAAATATTAATTATTTGGATTTAATCTATTATTTTCATAAAAATTTACAATAATACTTTATTGAGAGCATATTTTAACATATTATAATAATTCATTTTCATTTAAGTCATTAACATTATAACTTGCTTTTTACAAATCCTATAAATTATATTATTATGAATTCATATATAATGATCTCTTTTTTATTTTATTTTAAATTTTTATTATATAATTTCAATAAAAAAGTAATTTAAATATTTGGTTTAAAATTAAATACTATTTTTATATTTTAAAAATAAATAAAAAATAAAATGATATAAATATAAATAAAAAATAATAATAAAAATCAAAATATTATTAATGTTTAATAGTAAATTTAAATATATAAATATATAAATTTATAAATATATAAATATATAAATATATATATAAATATATATAAATATAAATATATAAACATTTTTTATATATTTTTAATTTATTCTGTTTTATTTATTTATATATATCTTTTATATTTTTATTTTTTTTAATTATTTTATTAATTAAATTAAACTTTTTTTTTTATACATATTATTATTAAAATTTTAAAATTTATTTATATTTTTTTTATAAAAAGATAATATTAATTATTTCATATATATAAATAATTATTAAAATATATATATTTTTTATATTTATTCTAATATAATTACATAACATTTTTATTATTTTATAAAATAAAAATGATTTAGAATTTAAAAGCATTAGGCTTTTATAAAAATAAAACAGATATGTTTTTAAAATACAAGCAAAATTGCAGATAAATTATAAAATCCAAGTACATAAAATATTACTCAATTTATTTTTATAAAATCGAATTATAATAGTCGCTTTAGAACAAGAAATGAATTTAATGATAAATAAAGTATTTTATGTTTTTAAATAAAACTTAAATAATAATAAAAACAATATAAATAGAATTAGAGGATAATAATTATTAATAATTATTAACTAAAACAAATAAAAATGATAGTTGTACAATCGAATTAAATGTATCCATATTACCACCATAATGGGTCGATTATTATGAATTATGTATATAAGAATTAAATTAAATAACAAAATTGCGTATTTTTTTTTTTTTTAAATAAAAAATAAAAAAATTTAAATATTATATAAAGAGGATTAAATAACTATTAAAGCTAGACAAAGAATAAAAAAAGGTTTCGGTGATAATACTGATTTAGATAATTAAATATATATACTAACATAGGAAGCTAGTACTGTAAAATAATTAAATTTTAAATAAATATCAATAAATATAAATATTAAAAATATATCAATATTTATATATATTAATAATGATATTATTATAATAAAATAATAATTATATTATATATATATTTTTTATTTAAATATTATATATATAATAAGAAATTGAAATTATGTGAAAATTAGATCTAAAAAATAGATGAAGTTTCAGCTTTATATGAAGAAAATTTAAATGAAAAAATAAGTTTTATATAATTTTATAAAATTATTCAATTAAAATAAAAAAATAGTTAGAGAAAATGTAAAAAAAGGTTTAGCATGTTCTATATAGGAAAAAACCTTAAGCTTGAGAAGATAATAAAAGGCAATTTATGATTCTCTTAAAAAATATGATAATTTAAATACAAATTAGAATTAAAATTATATTACATAAGATATAAACTAAAATTAAATATAAGATTAAGATATTTATTAAAAGATTACATAAGATAGGTATTTATATATATAAATTTATATAATAATATTTATTTATATATTAATATTTTTTATATATAATATTTTATTTATTATTTAAAGAGAAGAAGGAATTAATAATTTAGTAAATTAAATTAATGAATTATCTGATATTTATAAAACACTTGGAAATTTAGTTATAGATTAAGGCACGATACTTGATAGAATTGATGTTAATATTAACGGAACTAAAATTAATGTTTAAAATTCTAAAGTTAAATTACAAAAAGTAAAACCTTTTATATATAAAAAAAATATAATATTAATTTTAATTAAGGCTTTAAAAATATAAGAAAGTCCTTTTTCAAAAAAAATAATTTAAATGCTAGTTTTTGGTATTATTTTTTTCAGTATTATATTGGTTATGCGATTTTCTAAATGAATAAAGATTAACAATTTACACTTTAATTTTAATATTAAAAAATATATTTATTTATTTAAAAAAAAAATATCATATATTTTATAAATTACTTTTTTTTAATTTTAATAAATTAAAAAAAAAAATATATAAAAATCATATTATAAACTATTTTTGCAAAAAAAAAATAATACGAATAAATAACAATAAAGATATTCATTATTTATTATATCAAAATACTTTTAAATAAATTAGAGAAAAATAATTTTAAAATAAATATAAAATTATATATATAAATATATATATATATATATATAATATATTTAAAATTATATTTACATATTTTTTTATATCTTTAATTCATAATTTTTTATATATTTTTTATTTTATTATATCTTTTGATTAATATTTTTTTTATTAAAATATAAAGTTATTTTTTATTTATTATAATAATTGTTTTGTTTTATTTTTTTCGTTTTTCCCATAATAATATTTTTAATTTTTATATTTTTTTTTAATAATATATATATTCCCACTAAATGTAGAGTATAATTTTATAATGCTATGATTATTTTTATTTTTTATATATAAAGTAAATTTAATATAATTATTGATTTGAAAATTTACTTCTTTTTCCTAATGAAAGTATTCATTTTGCAATTTAATTAACTTTTTCTTAAAATATATATTTCACACACATTTATAATCATCTATATTTCAAATATTTTTTTCCTTATCTTTAAAGGATTTAAAAACATATATTTTCTAAAATAGAAATTATGTGTATATTTTATATACAGTTATTTTAATCTAATATTTATCAGGATTAATAAATATATATATATATATATATATATATATATATATATATATATATATAAATATATATATTTATATAAATATATATATTTATATATCCACTAACTTTCCTTATTATTTTCAATTTAATTTATTAATCATATTTTTAAGTTTTAATTTTTAAAATTTAATAATAAGTCATATATCAACTAAATAATAATATATTGTATATAGCTTAATATAATATTATTTTTTATTTAAAATATAATTATATATTATTAAATCTTTTTTATTTTTTACAGTTTATTGATATTTAAATTTATAGATTTAAATTTTTTTATTTCAAAAAAATCTTTATAAATTTTTTTTTTTTTTTATTATAATAAAATAAAATTGTGTTTTTTTTGTTGTAATTAAATTATTATCTCTTTTATTAATTTTTTGTATTATACTTATTAATATTTATACATATTATCATATATTTAATTAATAACTAAAATTTTATTAATTAAGTCCTTATATTTTTAATTTAAAATGAATATAAAAGAACCTATATACAATAGTATTTAATATAAAACATGATTTATATGTATTAATTAACTAACCATAAAATATATCTAAAATTTATAAATTATTAATTATAATTTTTAATATTTTTGTAATAAAAAAGGACTATTCTCCATATATAATTTTATTTTATTTTATTTTTAAAAAAAAATATATAAAAATATTCACATAATATTATTATAAAAAAAATCATTTTTTTTTATTAGTTGTAACCGCTGTATTTGGTCTAATTCTAAAATTTCCAGTTTTTTCTTATAAAACATTTCCTTTTTTATCTTTTCCTATTCCTAATCCTTCCATATCCTTCTTTTTTTTTTTTTTTTCAACAGTAAAAAAATAAAATATTACCTTTTAAAATAACCCATACATGTGAATCGCTTTATAAATGGTCAGAAATAATTCCGTCCATAGGTAATAAATCACCACTTTCGAATCTAACTCCTTTAGGAGTTCCACTTAAATTTCCATAAAAATGTTCATATCTAAAAACTGCTACATCTCCTAACCATCTTTTGAAATATAAAAAAAAAGTAAAATTTTAAATTATTTATACCTTATTTTTTAGGCTCCATCACCACAATTAATTGTAAACATTTTATCTTTTATATGTACCTTTTTATAGTTTTTAATATATGAATTTCATTTTTAATGTAATTTGTTTAATAAAAAAACTTCAAGTTTCATTTAATAGAAATATTTATAAATGGAAATATTACTTATAAATAAAAAAACTAAGAAATAATATTTAAATGTAATAATATATATAAATATATATAAATATAAATAAATATAATAATATATATATATATGTATATATATATATATATATTTTAGAAATTTAGTTTATTATAAATTAAAATTAATAATGTTATTATTAATAAATATTAAAGGTTATATAGAAAAACAATATTTAATCTATTATTCTTTTAGTTTTTAATTTTTTTTTTTTAATTATATAAATAAAATATTTAATAGGAAAAAAATTTAAATATAAAATTTATTATTTATAAGTAAACAAAAAATGAAAAAAATATTTTTTTTAATAATTATATATATAATAATATTAAAATTTAGTCTATAAAATTAAATTTAAAGTGATTAAAAAATAGAAGAAGATGAAGACATAAAAAAACAATTAGAATTAAATAATTAATAACAAAAAGCATAAAAATCTAAATAAAACTAACAAAATATTCCTAAATAATAAGAAAATATTATTTAATAAAATAATAAAAATATAAATATTGAGGAAGAAATATAAGAAAATAGTAGGAAAAAATATCAAGGATAGTCTGCATTTATAATGAATTCAGAAATAAGATTTCAAAATTATAAATAAGAATTTATAAAAGCTTATTAAAAAAATAATAATAATAGTTATTTAAATTATTATAATATTTTAAATTAAAAATATAAAAAAAATGAAAACACTTTTTCGATTTTTTCAGCTATAAAATATATACTTAGTAAACTCTTTTCATTAAGTTTTATGGAATTTATTGTTTTTTTGTTTGTTTTCTTATTTATACTATAAATTATTTTGGGAACATTTAAACAAAATATAAGATTTTAATGAAAAATTTGTTATAAAAAAATATATATAAAATATAAAGTTTTTAATTATATTTTATTCTATTTATATAATTGTTTTTAAATTAATTGTATAAATTGTATAAAGAATATATATATATATATATATATATAATTTATATATTTTCTTAATTTATATTTTAAATATTGTTCGAAATATCTTTTATTTTTATTTTTAATTATTATTTTATATTTTAAAAATTTACTTTATAAGAATTATTATTTTAATTAGATTTAAAATCATTATATAAAATTAATTTTATATATTTGATTATATTTAATATTATTATAGAATAAAAATATTAATTATGTTATATACAATACTAATTTTATGTTTTTAATATTATAATAGTATATTTAAATATAATGTAATATATATATTATTTGATTATAATAAAAAAAAATAAAAAATGAAAAATGATTTTTTAAATATTATTAAAAAAATATAAAATAAAATTAAACTTTATTAATAAATAATAATAATTATATTTTTAAATTTAATAAATATCATCCAACAATATTTATTACTTTCTACATAATATGTTATGCAGTTAACTTATAATAATCTAATAATTAAGTAGGTGTTCCACTTCTAGGTACTTCATTGACTGCAATTGAATGAACTTTAATATTTTCTAAACATACAGCAGAAGCAACAGCATCTAAACATAATAATATATAATATTTTTATTAAATATAAATAATAAAGAAATATAAACAAATACATATATATATACATATATAAATATATTTATTTATATTTAAATATATATTATTATATTTTATTATATTTATTTATATATATAATATACCTCTTATTCCTCCTTCTGCATAATGATCTTCAACTGTTAGAATTTAATTTCCAGCTTCTTTTGCATTTTTAATAATTCCTTCTTAATCAATCGGTTTTATTGAGAAAATATCCATTATTCTTATATGAATTCCTTTTTTTTCTAATTCAGTTTTTGCTTTTAAAGCTTCATATAAAGTTACACAAGCCCCAATTACTAAAATTTTATCTTTTTCACTTTTTGCGACTATTTTAGATTTTCCAAATTCGAAAATTTCATCATTATCATATATAATTTCTGTAAGAGGTCTTGAAGTTCTGATATAAACAACTCCATAATGATTGGCTGCTAACTCAACCGCTTTTTCTGTAGACACAGCATCTGAAGGATATAATACACAACTACCAGCAATAGCCCTAAAAGCTGATATATCTTCCAAAGCCATTTAAGATGCTCCATCTTCTCCTATAGAAACTCCTGAATGTGATCCACATAATTTCAAATTGGCTTTAGATACGCCTGCCATACGTATTTAATCATAAGCCCTTGAAAGAAAAGCTGCAAAAGCAGACACAAAAGGCACCTTTTGTTATTTTATTTTATTTTTTTTTAAAAAAAAAATACTTTATTTCTACATCCCAAACCAGTAGCTACAGAAACCATATTTTATTCAGCAATAAAACACTCTACAAATCTTTCTGGGAAAGCATTTTTGAATGTAATAGCAAAAGTCGAATTTTTAGTATCTCCATCTAAAGATACTATTCTACCTAGACTATCATTTTATCCTAATCTTTTGAGTGCTTCTCCATAGGCATTTCTAGTTGCAATCTATATATATGTATATATATATATATATATAAATATATAAAATATACATACTTATTATCCTTTTTTATATGTAAGATTTCCTAATTTTAAAGGCTCTTATTTTAATACAATTTCCTAGTGTTAACTCGGTATACATTTAAGTTGTATATTTTAATCTTATATTTATTTTTAAATGATCTCAATGGCTTCTTTAGCTTGATTACCTAAAGGTTTACCATGCCAATCTAGTTTATCTTCTATATTAATGATTCCTTTCCCTTTGAAAGTCTTAGCTATGACTACACTAGGTTTTCCTTTATAATTTTTAGCTTCCAAAAAGGCTTTTCTAATACTTTCTACACAATGTCCATCTATAACAATTGCATGCCATCCAAAAGCTTCAAATCTTTTCCTATACACTTCAACATCATGTTTTATGGAAGTAGCCTCAGACTATCCTAGTCTATTAATATCTGCAATAGCAGTAAGATTATCAAGTCCATACAATTAACTGAAATGAGCAGCTTCCCAAACTGACCCTTCAGCACACTCACCATCTCCTAATAAAACCCAAATTCTATTATCTATCTTATCTAAATGTTTAGAACTATAAGCCATACCAGCTGCACATCCCAAACCTTAACCTAAAGAACCAGTTGCTACATCTACAAAAGGTAAAACAGGAGTAGGATGACCTTCTAGATCATTTCCGAATTTTCTAATATTTAATAATTCTTCTTTCTTTATTAAACCAGCTTCAGCCCAAGCTGCGTATAATATAGGTGCAGCATGTCCTTTAGATAGAACAAAACGATCATTTACAAAGCTTTTTGGATGTTTTATATTAACTCTCATACCTATATAAATATATTATTTATTAATTATTTATATTAATTACCTGATTAATCAAAGAATAATACAGAAATAAGTTCAGCCATAGAACAACAACTTGTTGGATGACCGCTATTACTAGCGTTTGTCATTTAAATTGAATGGATTCTTAACTTATTTGCTAAGTCTAGAAGAGATTAGTTGTTTGTGTTTTCCATTTAATTATAATTTACTTAATTATTTTTTTATAATAAATATAATTATAATATTTTATATAAAAATTTATTAATATTTGGTCATTAATTATTAGATTATTTATCTTTAAAAATGTTATTTTTTAAAATTTAATTAAAAATTAGTAAAAATAAGTGTTATTTGTAATTATGATATTAAAAAAATAATGATATAAAAATTTTAAATATATTATAAAAAAAATATTATAAATAAAAATAAAATATAATTAAAAAAATTAAATAAATAATAATAATTTTTTTAATATAAAAAATAATTATTAAATGTATATATATTTATAATATTTATATTAAATTTAATTATATTATTATATTAATATATTAATTATATAAATTTTATTTATAAACAAAATAAAATAAACGAAATAAAATAAAATATTATTTTTACATATAAAAAATAATTTTAATTTTATTAAACATATAAATAAAAAATAATTTATAGATAATATATTATATATCTAATAATTTTATATATTTATTAATATAAAAGAATTATAAAACATATATATAGAAAATTAAATTTATATAACTTAAACTAGTAAGATAAATAAATATTATAAAAGATATAAATAATTAAAAATTAATATATATATATATATATATATATATATATATATATTATTTTATTTTTTCATTTTTTTTTTATAAATAAGAAAGTGGTAATATTAATATTCATTTATTATTTTTATATTATTATTATAAATAACATCAATGTATATATATATATATATATTTATATTTTTTATAATTATAATTATTATTATAGTCTTACTAATATATTTAAAAAAATATATTATACTTTATTATATCTTTTAATTATTTAATATTAATACATATATTAATATATATATATATATAAAAAATTTTATATATTTAATATAAATGAATTAAAAAATTTTAAATATAAAGATTTTAAAATAAAATAAAAAATATATAAAATATATTTTTAATTTTTTTTATTATATAAAAAATCATTTTTTTTTTGTTGAATTATTATTAGGTGAATCTTCATTTTTATGTTCATCTTAATACCCTTAATACATTTAATTTTTCAACGCTAATTTATGTAAATTATTCGACTCGTTTTTCTTAATAGGACTTCCTTTTTGATTATTATTATTCTATAACATATTCTAATCTATACTATCTGTTCTTGGTTTACTAAAAAGCGATTAATTTGGTACATGCTCTTAATTATTCTTCAATAAATTCGGATTTGAGTTAATATTTAAGCTTCCTATAGTATCTACATTACCATTCATAGCTGGTATACCTCCTGTATGTAATGCTAAAGAACCTAATTATTCTTGAGAGTCTACTCCCTTATTTCTTACATTTGCTAAATAGTCTACTTCGTAATTTCTGAGGTTATTAATGGCTGGAAGTGTATCTTTTTTGACCTACCCATCTTAAATGAAAACATGATTCAAGCATTCAGTAGCCGAGGGTCTTTTGGAAGGATTCGGTTCTAACATTTTCATCAGCAAATCCTTTGCTTAAACCGATACATTATTAAATTCAGAACTATCATATTTAATTTCACAAGCTTTATTAGCTCTTAATATTTATTTATAGTCTTTACCCTAAAAAGGTTATTTTCCTATCAAAAGTAAATAAAAAATAACTCCTGCGGAAAATATATCACACTTCAAATCATATAATTCCTCTCCTTCTTAATAAGCCAAGACTTCGGGAGCCACAAAGCCTGGGGTTCCACATCTTTTAAATAAAATTTCCTTTATGTTTGTAAATGTAGCTAGACCGAAATCTGCAACAACTATATCATGATCATTTTCTTTAGATTTTAAAAGAAGATTTTCAGGTTTTAGATCACGATGCATTATATTTTTTGAATGTAAATATTATAAGGCCAATAAAAGATTTCTCATTAAAGGTTTAAGATCATTTTCACTAAAATTTCCTTTATCTCTAACTCTATGTAGAAGTTCTCCTCCATTTAAAATATCTACAACAAAATAGATAGAATTAGTAGTTTCATAAACTTCAAATAAATTAATTAAATGATCACTTCTTAAATTTCTCATAACTAAAATTTCATTAATTAAAGATTCTTTTCCTTTATGTTAACTTGCCATAAATTCTTTATTAAACGCTTTTATAGCATATTAAATTCCAGTCTCTTTTTTTGTTGCTAAATAAACTTTCGCAAAAGACCCTTTGCCAATCATTTTTGTCACTATAAAATCCTCGTGAAAAGATGCTTAAATTGCCTTATAAATTATAATAGTTTTCCATTTTTTCCACATAACCTAATCTTTTGTAAAAAACTCTAATATTTTCCCATTCCTAATCAATCTAAACCCAAATAAATTTTCGTTTAATTAAGTATCTATTGTTTTTGGATCTATATTCTATAGTAAGTCTAATTTACAACAATTTAATTCTAATACACCTGCTATTTTATCATTCTTTTCATATTTTTAAAAGTATAAGTTATTTTCGTCTATTATAAATACTCGAGGCTTGGATTTACCTACCTTTTTTGATTTTTTAAAAAATGTTCCTTTCAGAATTATTTGCTTGCTTAATTATTCGCAAGTTTCTTGACTTTTAGATGGTTTTTGCCATATTTTTTTAGGATTTTTCACTTATTCGTCGTCAAAAAATGATGTTTGTTTCATTATTTTTTTTTTTTTTTTTTTTTTTTTTTATTTTTTTTTTTTTTTTTTTTTTTTTTTTTTTTCCTTTTTATGAATATAAGCTTTTTATAGGTATTTTTAATTTTTTGTATGTTTAATATAACACATATTTGTTTTTATAAAAGATATAAAAAAATACAAAATTATATAAATACCATGTTTTATTTTTTAGAAAATAAATTATATATATATAATTTTTTATTTTAAATATTTTATTATATTCAATATATTAAAAAAAAATTATTTCATATTTTATTAATTTTATGGTTTTTTTTGTCATTTTATTACTAATTAAAAATTTATGATAAAAATTAAAGAATTATTCATTATAAAAATAAATTTAAAATAAATATCTACTAATAATATTATCTTTTATAACAAAAAAATATAATAATGAAATATTATTTGCTTTTTGTATTTTATTTGTAAATAATTATAAGAATAACAAATAATTATAATTTATTATTTTGCTAAAATATTTATATAAATAACTTAAATAATAGTTATTTATTAATTAATTAAATTTTTTATGAAAAATTCTTATTATATTTTTTTTATAATTTAAATTAATAATTTTTTACATAAAATAACATATTTTGATTTTTTTAAAATATGTATATTTTATTTTTGCTTTTATTATTATTTTATATTATGTAAAATCATTTTTTATGAAAAATTTATTTGATTTTTTTATTTCGTTTCTAATATTTTAATATAATTACAAATATATAAACTAAAAAAAATAAAAATGAAAGAAATTAACATTTTTGTATTTAAAAATTCAAATTTTTTATCTTTTAGTATAAAAATTCATTTTACATATTTTTTATTTATAGATATGAAAAATTTAGTTTTAGTAAAAAAATAATCCATATATATATAAAATTTAAATTATTTTAAATATATTATTTATATAAAAAATACATATTTATAATATATATTTTTTTAAAAAATCTTCCTTTATTTTATTATATAGACATATTTATTATTATTTATTTATTTTTTTTAAAAAAAAAAATCACTTATAAATTTTATGATTTATTATTAATTTTTTCTTTTTTTTTAAATATCTTTTTTTTTCTTTTTTCTGACTAATTATTTTATGTATATTAATTTTAATATATCAACCTACCATTTTTATTCAAAAATATAATTTTTTTTTATAAATATTTATATGTATATATCTCTTACATAAACATATTTAATTTTATATTAAATTCTTTATTTTTATTTAAAAATAAAATAAAACATAGTTAATATTTGTTAGTCTTTTCTTTAGAAACATTTTTTTTTTAATAAACTTATTTAATTTTTAATGAATAAATACATAAAACAAATTAAACAATAAGGTTTTTATATGATTATAATTAATTAAATTCTATAATAATGGTTTTATTAAAATATTTAAGATAATCGAATATAGTTTATTATTTTTTTAAAAAAAAAATGTATTAAATATTATTATTTAATTTTCAAATAATAATATAATAATTCGAATTAAATGAAGAAAAAAAAATAAAAAATAAAAGAAATATTATTTCTCTTAAAATAAATGTATAAGACAAATTTATTTTTTAAATAAAAATAAAGTTATAAAATATATAATAAAAATAAATATATAAATAAAAAATAGGATTTTTATAATTTAACAAAAATAAAAAAAATACATTACTAATATTTATAATTAAGTATTATTTTTTTAAAAGACAAATTTATATATATATTTTTATTTTATATAAATATTTATTTAATATATAAAATAATATAATGGAATAATAAATAGGAATTTGTTAAAATCATCAATTAAAATACATTTTCATCTTAATAAATTACCAAAAATACAAAATAAACTTAGTCTGTAGAAAGTGCTTAAACTAAAAGCAATTAAAAGGAGAATATCTTATTTCACTTTAAGAAATATAGAATACGGAAGAACAAATACCTATTTTCTTAAATAGAAAATAATAATAAAAATATAACGAAATACATTAAATAAATCGCAATTATAAAAGTGACTCTATCACTACTTTGTTAAATGATTTTTTCGATAAAATAGAAGATAATTTTTTACATTAAATTAAAACAATGAGAAAATGTGAATTATAAAAAGGTAAAAAAATAGAAGAAATGATCGAAAACATACAGTTTTATAGCAATGAATAATCCTAATAAATAGAACTTTAAGAATTAATAAATAATAAAATTAATAATATAGATGAATTATAGGAAGAAATGCTTAATTTATTAAAATAAAGTGAAGAAAAAGAAGATAAAGAATTTAATATTTTACATAAAAAAATAATAAAAAATATGTAAGATTTATAAACTGAGATAAATAAAAGTTTTGCAAAAAATATTGAATAATTTAATATTTATTTTAAAAATGAATAAAATAATATTTTTTAAAAAAATGAAATTAATTTAATTGAAAAACTAGAATTTAAACCAAATAATTGTACTTAATCTTAAAATAAATACAAAATTTAATTTAATTTTTTAAAATAATTAATTATATTTAAAAATTCTAATAATTCTTATATTGATATAGATGAAAAACTTAGCTAAAGTTTGTTAAATTTCGATGATTCTTATTTAAATTAAACAAATATGAATGACTAAAATTAATAATAATAATAATAATAATAATAATAATAATAATAATAATAAATAATAAAAATAATAAATTAATATTTTTAATTAAAATAAATAATAATTTAATATTTTTAATAGTTTTTTTAATAATGTTTTAAACTAAGAAATTAATCCTATTTTATCTAAAAATAATTAATAAAAAAGCTAAAATAGACCTTTCGATATCTTAAAATAATCTAATATTTTTAAGAATTCTTAATCAAATAATTCTTTCATTTAAAATAAATTATTTTAATCTTAAACTAATATTTTTAAAAATTAAAATTATATTTAATAAAAACCTTTTTAAAATATATTTAACTCATTTTAAAATAATTAAATAGACTAATAAAGCAATATCATAAGAAATCTAAACTAAGATTAAGCAGGCAATAATATTTTCAAAAACTAATAATATATAATAACTAATTTTTAAAATTAAAAAGAAAGCTTTGCATGCTTTTACACTTAAATTCTAAACCCTAAGAAGAAATACATAGTAAGGTTATAATACGAAAACAGTGAAGAAAAAAACTGTAATGCCTTATTCGGATTAGGAACTTAACTTATATTAAATTCTAATAATATTTTTATAAATTAATTATGTTTTGATAATTAAAATTAATTCAATTATTTAAATAGAATATTAAAAAATCAAGGTTTATTTGAAAAAAACATTTAGAATAAATTTTAAGAATATGAAATGAGAATTTGGATTGAAGGTAACATTTTAGAAATTTCAGATTTTCCAAATTATGAAAATGTTAATTCTATTTAAATAACTAATAAAAATCTAGAAAACAAAAAAGATTTATAATTCTTTGTTTGTTTGAATTAATATTTTAATGACAAAGTTAATATTAAAGAGTTTTTAGTTGTTAATGATTATAATGATTATTGAATATATATATATATATATATATATATATATATATATATATATATATATATATTTAATTTATTTTTATTTATAAAAATAATTTATTATTTATATTATTTTATAGAAATATATTACATTTTATATTTAATAATATTTTTTATTTATAATTTTCTTTATTTATTTTCTACAATAAAAAAAATTAATAAAATATAAAAATATTTTTAATCAAATCTTATCTAGTCTTGGTTTTAATTCTTTTAAGAAGTTCTAATAATCATTAACTCCTTTCTTAGCTTCGAAATCCCAAGTTTTTTATCTTTTTTAGAATTCTTTAAGTACAGGTGAAGTTTTCAACTCATATTCTTGCATTCTTGCACTAATAATATCTTTAGAATCATCTGCTCTAGTAACAATATCCTTTGACCCACATTTATCACAAGTTCCTTCTTTTTTAGGTAAAAGAGGTTCCATTTCATATCCATCTCTATTAATAGAACAATAATTGTAAGTATTTCCACATCCATTACACACTCTTCTTCCCATTAATTTCTCGAGTAAAACAGATTAGTTTAATGTCAAATTAACAACTAGATGAACTGGAAGCTTTTATGCGTCATATTTTTACAATTAAGAAACTGTTCTGGGAAATCCATCTAAAATTACACCATTAGTACTTTCTGGTTCTTTTAATTTTTCTTTAATTATATTAATTACTATATCATCATTGACTAATTTTCCAGATTCGACAATAGACTTTATTTCGTTTTTTAGTGCAGGGCTAAATGTGGATGCAGCTTGTCCTTTTAAAATTTTTCTTATTTCATCTCCGGTTGATATATGGTTTAATTTTAAGTCTTTTTTTAAGAATTTCGCGTAGGTTCCTTTACCTACACCAGGCGCACCGAATAAAAATAAGAATTTTTAGCCGAAAAAGTATATTTAAGTACTATGAAGTTGAGAAATTTTACAAATGGATGATTTAAACATTTTTTATTTTATTTTTTGTTTAATTTTTTCTTATGTATATAATTAAAAATTTATTTGATATTTTTTGTTGAAAAAATAAATAAAAATTTAATGTTTTTTTTTGTATTCTGATCTTAAAATATATAATTTAATATATGTATTCAACATATAATTTTTTGTATTAAAAAAAATAAAGTAAAGTATAATAAATATTTTATTTTATATTATTTTTTTAAAAACAAAAAAAAAAAATACATTTTTAGAAAATAAATAAAGTATGATTTTAAGTAAAAATATATATAAATATATATAAATATAGAAATATATAAATATATTTTTATAATTATAAATAATTTTTTTTTAATAATAATTCTACTAATTTTTATATTTAAATAATATTATTTAATATATTTTATATTTTTTTAAAAAATCCATATAATTTTAAATATATACTATATATAAACATTCATATTAACTTAATTCTTATTAAAATAATATAAATAATATAATTTCAAATTTTAATTATTAATATTTTATATAATTATTATAAATTTAAAAATATAAACATTATTTAAATGGGAAACAATTCATGTTTATCTCAAAGAGAAAGCCAAAATATATTATTTGATAAATAACAAAAAAATATATTATTTGAATTATTTACATAATTAGCTAATAATTATAATAAGTATAATATTATAATCTTAATATTTAAATAAAACAAATAAACATATGATATATTTATATTTATAAGCACAAAGGATAAAAACTTAATATAACCAAAAGCATTTTACGATTATTTAAGTGAAACCAATAATATAAATAAAATATTAATATAATAACTGTTTTCTGATTAGAATTTAATAAACTATGAAAAATTTATTCATTTTTGTATTCTTTTTATTTAAAAAATTATAATTTTATAAAACAAAACAAAAAAGGCTAAAATTTAATGATAAACTAAAATTCGGAAAATTTGTTTTACTTAGAAAAAATAATAGAATTTTAATAAAAATAAAAGAATATAAAAAATTGGAAAAAATAAAAGCCTAATTTAGAGGATTTACAAATTATTATTTATGTAAAGTAATATATAGAAAAAAAAAAAATGAATATTATAATAATATATATATAAATATATATAAGGATATCATTTTAATAATAGAAAATATAAATAACAAATTTAAATTTTATTAGAATTCAGAAATGCTACTTCAGTAATTATTTGGAAATGGTAATATTTATTATTAAATAAAAATAAAATATAAAAATTAAATAAAAAAATATATAAAAAAAATGAATAATATAATAAAATTTAATATAAAGTATATAAAAAAATTATTAAATATATATATTTATTATACAATTATAAAATATATATAATAATAAAAAATATAAATATATAAATTTTAAATAATATAAAAATTAATTAAAATAAATAAAAAATAAAATAATATTAATAATAAACATATAAAATAATATAATTATAAAAAAAATTATATAAATAATAAAAATAAAAAAATAATATATTAATAAAAAAATAAATTAAAAGAGTAAAAAAATTAAAAGAATATAAATAGTAATATAATATAAAAATTTGTATAAATAATATAATATGATAAAAAAAATTAAAAATAATAATAATCGCATTTTGAATTTTATATATATGAAAAAAAAAAAAAAAAAAAATAATAATAATATAATAATAATAATAATTATAATAATAATAATAATAATAATAATATTATTAAAATAAATTAAATTTTTAAAATAAAGATTATTTAAATATAAACACATGGGAAGATATTATTACATTTTTTTAAGAAAAATATAAAATTTTAAACGATATATTAAAAAATTATTATGAATATAAATTTCTAGGTATGCCTATGATATATTAATTTCCTTTATTATAAAAAAATCCTTATTATTAAATATAAATTATTTATTACCATTATCTTTATCAAATTAAATTTTAATTTAAAAAACAACTTTTTTTAATCAAATATTTACTCTGAGAATTAGGCTTAAATTTTTAATTTTAAAGGAGAAACTTTTATGTACAATAAAATATTAAATTAAATATATATTTATAATTAAAAATATTAGAATTATAAGGGCGTTCATTATTATTATTTAATTTTCTAGATCCAAATGAGGAAAACTAAAGTACTTAATATATATATGGAGCGTATAATAATGAAAAATGGACTGATGAAATATAATTTTAAGGTTCGAACTAATGTTAATTATATCAAATTTATCCTAATTTTATATAAATGAAATCTTTAAATAATAAAAATGATAAAAAATGGGCTTTTTTAAATGAAAATGGACTAGGATTTGGATTTCAAGAAAATAACTAAAAATTTAGAATATGGATAGATTATAAAATGAATTAGAAATCTTATATTTAAACAAAAGATGATTATTATGAAGAATAACTAGAATAAAAATAAAATTTAATTGTATCATTTTTTTTTTAAACAAAAAAAATAAATATATATAAAAAAATAGTTAATAAATTTAGAAGCATGGGCAATATAGTAATAAATACCAAAATATACATATAATTAAATATAATAGAAATATTAATAATTCATATAATAAAAATAATGGTAAATTAATATATTAAAAAAATAAATATTATTACAAATATATATATTAAAAGGTAATATATTTTTTCAGAAACAGATAGTCATAAATAATCTTTAAATTTTTATAATTTTAATTCTTTTACAAGGTAAATTAAAATAAAAAATAAAATAAAAATTAAAAAAAAGATATAATATATAAATATAATAATATAAATAAATATATATAATTATATATAAATATATATATATTTATCTATGTTTATCTATATTTATATAAAAATATATATATGTTTATATAGTAATTTTCATTTATATAATTATAATTTTTTT